ACACTTTCGATTTGCACAGCCACATCATTAGTTTATAAATTATTTAATATAATATTAATTTATAGTGACAACTGACTATAAGCCTCAATTAAAATATCCTGAAAAACTCATTACCCATCAACCCATCTCGTAATGAATGTGTCATACCTTATCTAGAAAAAATAAATGAACACCAGTGCAGAAGGTAATTGCATTTTGGGAGCATCAGAATTCAACTGTGGTGGCAATAATCAAAGTATGGTCTTGAGGACTGTAGACACCCAAGGCTTTTTTACATAGACACCAAAGCAGTCTCATGTAGTCACCTGACAAATATCTGCGTTTCTGGCATCATGATAAAATCCATATTCTTGTTTCTAGTGTGAATTGTTTGTTCACAATAAATCCCATTTTGACCCTTTTCTGATTTCTGTCTCAATGGTGAAAGGAAAAGACAGAATGGAAAACAGGGTTTAAACTAACCTGAAAAGGTCCATGAACTGAAAACACGTGAAGTCACTGACCCAGAGAAGATTTTCTAGAGGAAAGGGCAGTGTTGCACAATGGTTAAGAACACAGGGCTTGTCTTCAGAGAACTGGATCTGTGTTCCAACTCTTTCTTAAAGGACTATGGCTGTTCTTGTTAAGGACTTGCATCAGTGTAATGCTAGCTGTTGTAACAAACAGATTCAATGCAGTATAATGGCTCACAGGTTTTCAATGTATGGATGGGTTAGCACCCAACCTTTTTTAAAAATTTTTTTTGGCAGGTGGCCAATATAGGGATCCAAGCCTTTGACCTTGGGGTTAAAAGGCTGCACTCTAACCAACTGAACTAATCAGCCAGCTATAATGGCTCAGATGTAATCATAGTTTACAACTCACTGTTCTGACATTCTGAGGTGAATCCTACTGCATGGCAGGCAGCTCTCCCCATGTAGTGACTCAGGGACCCCGACTCTTTCCATCTTGTGGCTCTGCCATCCTCTAGGTCCCTGTGATTGCCGCTGGTCCAAGGAGAAAGAGCAAGCATGGACAGAGCAAACCCCTTCTTCAAAGCCTTTGCTGGAATTAAGACACAGCACACCCACGGACATTCCACTCGTGAAAATCAGTCATGGGGTCACACCTCGATGCAAAGGGGGTGGGGCTGGGAATGTTCCTGTCTGTTTAGTCACTTCCCAGGGACAATTCTATAACTATGAACATGGTGGAAGGCATGAACTTCAGCAGATGGCTAGCTATATCTGTGACAGGGCTATTTATCAGAGATGACAAATTCTGTGGAAGGAAATCTCCAGATCTTAGATCAGGTATCTGGGGAAGAGAGGAATTTAGGGGAAAATCAACCAACTGTGTGGGATTAAATTGGAGAACAGTGAAATTAAACCTGAGTTAAAATCAGTCTAAGGAGCTCATCCCTCAGCCAAGAGGAGAGGTGTAATACATCAGGAAGAGTAAAGAATGCCACTAGGAGTGGAAGTGTCAAAAGGGTGCATACTAATGATCAGAGTTTCTCATTGGGCCAGTCTTCAAGCAAGGACCATCTGCTTGGTTCTGTGCTGGGAGCTATAGTTATACAGGTGGCTGAGGTTTGTCTCCACCCTCAAACAGGAAGTACAGAAAATCTGTATTCAGGAAGCAGAGGAGAGTTCTTGGAGGCTGTGTGTGTGTGTGTGTGTGTGTGCGTGCGTGCGTGTGTGTGTGTGTGTGCGTGCGTGCATGTGTGTGTGAGAGAGAGAGAGAGAGAGAGAGAGAGAGGTGGAGAGAGGTGGAGATTTACCAAGAAAGTGACACCCAATAAGTTTAAATTTAAAAAAAATAAAATAAAATAAAAAAGAAAGCGACACCCAGGCTGAATCTTTAAAGATGAAAATAAACTGGTGTCTGTCAGACGTAGGGGTTTGGTCCAATTTCACTGCAAGGAATTGAGCATCTCTGCAAAGGCCTCATCTGGCCTTCCCTACTTAATTAGCTCTCTCTACTCTGAGGTATCTAAACATAATACCAAGTAATAGTTAAAGAAAAAAATGAGATAAATCACATATTAAAAGGTGCAAGTAGATATTAAGTATGAGCATGATTATTGCGCCACTGTTTTCAGTGCCAGAAATCTGGAGAAACCCTTAATGTCCATCATTAAAAAGAATGCATAAAGTATGTTCCACCAATACTGGGGATTCTTGTACAGCTATTAAAGAAAGTGATTTGGATCTGTATGTACGGACCTGGAGGGATGTTTATGGGTGAAGCAAGTTGCAAATCACTGTGTTTTATGTGATCCCACCTTTCTATAAACAAATTAAAATACAAAATCTACGCATGTGTATCTGTTTGTGGATGTATGGAGAAAAGCGTGTAAGAACACACACCAAGTGTTAACACTGGCATTTAAAGGAGGGAGGGAGGCTGGAAGATTCAAATCATTAACTTTTTCCTGAAGCATCTGTTTTGTAAATTAATAATTAGTAAACGAGAAACAAACCCACAAGGATGTGTTAAATCTCAGACTGGTAAAAATGCAGAATGCCCCGAACACTCACGCCCTGATCATTTACTTCTTCATTCAACAATCATTTATTATCTCCTGGGTGCCAGGTGCTTTCATGGATGTTCTTTCATTCAGTCTTTACAATAATCCCAGGAGACCGTATTTACAGATGATAAAATGAGACACAAAGAGCTTTAGCAACTTGCTCAAAGTCATGTTCCCAGGAAGATGGTGGGGACAAACAGCATTTGTGGCCAGTCCCTCTGGCCCCAGAGGCCCCACTCTCATCTGCACCTCACTCTCTTAAAATGGGGAAGAGAGGCGGCGCCCTATTTTTGAGGTTGGTTAATCTAGCTTTCTAAGCCTGGGTAAGTGGTAAGCGTCCTAGTTTATGTCTGGAAGGGTAACCTAGTACAGATAAGAATCCTGTCGGGAATAATTCCAGTTCTTGCTCACAAACCCTAAGCAAAAAGACTGGAAAGATCAATCCTGAAAGAATCCCCTTGGAAGTGAGTCACTTGGTGATATTTCTACCAGGGGCAGAGAAATGTGAAAGGGACACTGCTAAACTGAATGTGACTCTCCTTTGAGGGTCTCAGGGGGTGGAAGAAGGACTGCTGTACTGTTAGCTCGGTTCAGCCCCAGAGGTACTTTGAAGGACCCTTTCTGGGCGTAATGTCATTTTCTTCCTTCTCAAGTTATAGGCTCTTTAGTTATGATTATGGGCTTCAAACACTTTGAAGAGTAGAGAAGCCACAGATTTTTTCAGAACATATTTCTAGCCAGAGAGAATGTATTGCTTAAAAACACATACTCATTTCGAAATTTTTATTGGAATTGGCAATTCTGGTAAGGATTTTAAAAATTAAGGTAGTCCTTTGTGGTGGGCGAAGTTTCATGTCAGGACTCCAGCTTGTGGGTGCCACAGTAGGAGGTTTAGATGGCCACGCTACCTTCTCTTACTTGGGCACAGGCATTTTTCATAACATATTTCCTAGGTCTGCTCTCCCCCAAAGTTCCAAATTAATAGGACATAATATTTTTTAATTAGAAAAAAACTAGATACTGAAAAACATGGTTAAAAGCCAAAAAAGAACAAAGTCTAAAGCAGTAGTTCTCAACGTTGGTATCACCTGGGGACATTAAAGAGTCTCAGAGCCCTGGCTACACATTGGACTGATTAAGGCTGTCTGTCAGGTGGGATCCAGGGCATCAATGGGTTCTCAAATTCCCTGGGTGATTCCACTGTGCAGCTAAAGACGAGAACCATGGGCTTACTGACCAATATTTTCACCTGGCTAAAGCAGCAAAGGTCCAGCAGCTGTGCATAGATTTGCAGGGCTGGGATCACTTTGGGCCCAGTTAGAGACCTTTGAGCAGATATAATTTAGGGTCCCACCCTTTAGATCAGGGGTGAGCAGCAACGTGTCCTGCTCAAAAGCCAACTCTCAAAGACCAAAATTTATTTATGGGCTGCATTCTTTTTCCATTCCAATGGAAATAACTTCCTTGAGGCCGATAAAAAGCAAGCAGTGTTACAATTTAAGATTACCTATTTTGGGCCGGCCCGGTGGCGCACTGCTGTAGTGCGCCACTTGGGAAGCATGGTGGCGCTCCCGCCAAGGGTTCGGATCCCACGTACAGACCGGTTCCTGCTCACTGGCTGAGCGAGGGGCGGGAGCAGCACCAAGGGTTGCGATCCCGTGGCCGGTCCCGGTCCGGTACTGGAGTGACACTGAGGGTTGCGATCCGTTGCCGGTCACGAAAAAAGAAAAAAAGAAAAAAAAAAAAAAGATTACCTATTTTGTTAAATAGAAGACTGTCTATGAAAACTGGCAACTTTTTAATCACTTGCAATACTTATCTGAGTATTTTTGAGAAAGGAAAATGAAGACAGTTTTCTAAAGCTCTAACTTCAGATTACATCATGGACCTTATAGTGAAATCAGGTGGCCTGTGGGTGGTGCTGGAATGTTGAATTGCTCATCTCTGCTTTAGTTTATGGTTCTGTAATTTTTGCATGGACATTAGCTAAATAAACCCACTTTCTACTTATTGGGAAACAGTCTGGAATCTACTTTAGATGTGGAATTTTTTTCATGAGATCAACAGAAGTGGTTAAAATTTAAAAAATTGCAACAACTGGCCTGGGGACAGAGCAAAGGCAAGCACCACTGGTTCATGTGGTGAATCTGGAGAACGGAGTTTTGATGCATTAACAGTCTCTAACAGGACCACCAGCTATTACATGGTAAAGTGCTAAAATTCCACACTGACAACTTTCAGCAAGAACGAAGTGCCACCTCTGATGCTACTGACCTTTGGCCTTCTTTGGATCTCTCTCTCTCACACACACTCACACTCATTCACACCCTCACAGTCTGCCAGGCAATTCGCTGCCATGCCTGTCCTCTGGAGCAATTTGTTTTTTCAATGATAGAAGCTTCCCGATGGGAAATTTGGTTGCAAAGGAGTGAAAAGTGAGAAAATGCAGTCAGCATAGGGCTTGCTAGTGAGCAAAAAGATATCATATGAAACAAAGTTTTCATTTTTATTTTACATATTTATACATAAAACTTTCAAGGAATCCTCTGAATCCAACAGAATGTTAATAGCACATCTAAAAATGAACTTCAGGTAGTCAACATTCACAAAATGTTGAAAACTGATTAAAATATACATATCATGGAGAGCTACAACTTCACTACGAGGCAGGCATGTATTTTTTTACTAGTATAGCACCGTCATTTACAGTTCCTCTTTAAAACTACAGTGAAGAATGAAAGTAGTCAATGGTAAAATACTGCTCCAACTTAAAATCTCTAAACAAATAAAAATAAAGTTAAAACTACCCTCTTTGATTAACCATGATTTGTGATGGTGTAAGTACTGTACATTTTTTGTAACAATATTTTATTAAAATGCCTGATATTAAGTGGCACAAGTAAAAAATTAAAATAAATTAAGAAGCAAAGGCCAATCACTGGACATTAAGCTTCAGACATTATCAATGACTAACACTGATATTTGTTTCTGTGCCACCTTTAGCGATAGCATTTTTACAACCACAGAAGCAAAATAAATTCTAGTTTGTCCTCTGGTTGGATGGCTTCTTTTCACTTTGCTGGCATTTTCTCTGCCATGTGCTTCTGCTGACTTTCAGCATGTCTGTAAAATTAATAAAACAATTATTAAGCAATTAATAATACACCTATTTACATTTACTAAGAAAGATCTAAAAAGCTTTTCAATCAATAGTTACAACATCCTCCAAACTGACTTACTCATAGTGAAATGCATGAGAATCAAGAAAAAATACTTCATTCAGATTCTTTAATTTTTTACTCTATGTATAATTCCTTTTATTTAGTAAGCCACTGCATGAACCTGAGACTTAGAGAAATTACTACCATTCAGAAGAAAAGTTGTGTGTTTAAAAACAAAAAGAGAGTTCTAGTCAAGATGGTGGAATAGACGGTTCCCAGCATCACTCTCTCCCACAAATCAACCAATTTACAAATATAAAAATGTAACATCAGCTAAGCTGGGGCCGCTGGAGCTCAGGGGAAGAGAAGGCAAGACCTAAGGAGTGCATGAAGGTGGGAGAAACCACAATGAGAGAAAGAAAAAACTGCTCTGAGTGTTTTGGGTTGTGGCCGCTTTAAGGCTGGAGCTGCTGAGCGCATGGAGCAGGAGTCAGCAGAAACCACAGCTGTGCCCTTCGGATGGAGTTGCTTGGAGGTGGCAGGGGAGAAGAGGGCCTTGGCAGCTCCCAGGACAGCAAGACCACTAATAGGGTTCCCATGGACCCATGCAAGAGCGAGGAACCAGAACACCTGAAAAAAGGGAGCCATTCAGAGGCCAGTGAGTCATTGCAAGGGACTGGCACATGGCCCATCCCATGGGAAGTGCTTGAAGCATGGGTGGTGGGGGAGACAGGCCCACTGTGACACAGCAAGGGACAGCTGACCCACCCTCCAATCAGTGCAGGACCACTCAGAGGAGACTGGTAAGGAATGCAGAATTGCATGGGGTGCAGTTTGAGGAAAAAACTCAGGCCCAGATCAGAGTTTCTACACAATCCAGATCCACCGGGTCTCTGGAGAGCCAGAAGTACCTATAAGGTCAACCATTAAACCCTCAGCTGCACATTAAACCTAAACCTAGGGAAACAGCAGCAAAGCAGCAATTTAGCTCAACCACACAGCTCAAGTACTGGTTCCCACAGGAAGTTCCCCTGTTTTAGAAGTAAGCAAAGGACAACAAATTAGTTCCAGCCCAGGCACACCACCAATGCCTTGGGGCCTGCCTGGGAACTGAAGGCTTAGAGCTGGGGACCAGACCCCACACCCACATCAAGGCACACCATGCGAGCGCCTTGGGGCCTCCCTGGGGACCAGAGTCATGGAGAAGGGGACTGGACCCCCCCTCCCACAACCAGGCACACTGCACCAGTACCTTGGGGCCTGCCCGGAGACCCAAGGCATGGATCTGGGGACCAGACACACCCCACAACCAGACACACTGCCAGCACCAAGGAGCATGCTAAAAACATCACCTCCATGTGGCTGGCCCACCACAGTCCCCACAATAATCATGGCTGCTGCAAAAGCGGCTAGATGCTACAACCACCATGCAGACGGTCTACCAGCCACTGGAGTGCATTGACACAAGAAGAGTCACCAGCAGAGACCAAAGAAAAGAAGAGGATGTCTCTCTCCACAAAGCCCATTCCAGAATGACAGGAGAAGCATCTGCTCTATGACAATATTGGGGGACCTGAACACACCTCTCAGCATTGGACAGATCATCTAGGCAACAAATCAACAGAGTAACTATTATTCTTTTAGAAGGAGAGAAGAAATCTAGGGCAATTAGAGGGGGGAGGGGGGAGGGAGAGGAGGGAGGGGAGAGGTTGGACAAGGGGCATAAAGAATAATTACAATTTGTACTAATATATATGCTAGTAATATTGATTTGATCAACATATCTCAATGTTGAACCCCCAAAATACGTACAATCAATTTTGATTCAATAAAAAAAAAAAATAAATAAAATAAAAATGAAAAGAGGTAAATATCTGGGATACTTTTATCAACAAATATTTAATATGTGCTTTCTATGTGCCAGGCACTACTCCTGGTACCGGGGATTTGGTGGTGAGCAAGACAATGAGATATTTGTTCTTGTGGAGCAAATGGTCCAATGGAGACAGACAAGAAAGGAACAAATAGCAAACATGGAAACAGCAGGTAGAAATAAGGGCTAAACAAAAAGTCAAAACCAAGTGTTTGGATAGAGAGTAACTGAGCAACTACTTTGTCTAAACACATGCATGCAGACAGATCTAGGTATTAACTAAGGGTCCTGACAGACACTGGAGCCAACATTCTAACTCACTCTTAGAAAAGCTAATGTCTAGCAAATGGTAGGCCTTTGCGGATGGAGAGATTTTCCATGTTTGCATAAGTGTTTCCCCCTCAGTTAATCTGGAGGGCATAGCCATAGCAGTAAGGGTAGGGCAGCTGGGGTGAGTCTTAGTCATCAAGCTATGACCCATGAGCCCAAAGTCAGGCCAATCCAGTGGTTGGATGGTGCGACAGAGGGGTGGGCATGGCCAACCTGTTTACATCACTTGAACACTTCCCAGAGAACAGGAGGCTCTGAAGGTTGCAAAAGTCAATGGTTTTGAAGAATGATTTTAAGAAATGATAAATTTGGCAAGAGAAAATCATTTAAGGCGGTGGTTTCCAGAGGTAATAAAGGATTCAGGAACAGTTTGTGTGTGCTGCCTGGACTTGGGCAGTCAGTGATGTCAAGTTTAACTCATTGGATTTAAGCCGAATGTCTCATATCCATGGTACAGAAAAGACAAACCACAAATACTTTCAGAAACAGGGAAGTGACAACAGCACCCTTGCCACACTCAGCAGCCCGCAAATAAATAGCAATATTCATCTAACAATAAAGGAACTCAGGAAAAAGATATATCATCTGTCCTCTGTTCCTTGAAAAATTACCCCTTATGCAGACCATCTCATGGCCCGGTTGATGTGTGCAAAAGAACCACGATCATTTTCATAAAGTAGCCCATGTACCTCGCTTAAGCAAATTCAGCTCAAAAAATATTTTGATATCCAGTGAGCTATGATTTCACTGTAGCTAATTAAATTACAGTTCTTATGGCAGTTTTAAAATATGTATTCGTGTGTGCATACACACATACATTGAAGGATTTTCTGAGAAGGAAAGAAGAACAGATAGGGAGCAGCTTCAGAAAATATTAAAAGTGGAGTGTTATTTTGAGACATATAAACAAAGGTGAATGTCATTAAAATTTTTAAAAAGGAAAGGAAAATGTTTCAGTCCATAAAACAAATTTCTCATCAACAATTTATACGAAAGTCCTTATTAGGATTTGTTTCATTCAAGCCTCATAAGAACTCCTTTGCATCAAGAATCATTACTTAGGACCTACTATGTGCCTGGCAGGCCCTGTGCTAGACTCTGGGGACACAGCAATGAATGAAAATGGTGTCTCTGCTTTAAGGGAGTTTACAGTCAAGTGGGAAGAGACAGCAGACAAAAACAACACAGTGCCATCAGGCTCTGCAGAGGAAGGGTGAAGTGTGGCCAGGAACACAAAGAAGAGGGTTCTAATCCAATCTTGGTGATCAGAAGCTGAGCCACATAACTGCTAGTGCTGCTTTGTGGCACCCACCATGTGCTTGCTCACGTACTGGAAGTGGTCAGCATGGAATGGCTTAGGGTCAGCTCTCCTGGGGACAGTCCTGCTTTTGGTGAAGGTGTCAGAAGTTCTGGGCCGAGCCTGTGGCACACTAGGGAGAGTGCAACGCTGGGAGCGCAGCAGCACTCCCGCCACAGGTTTGGATCCTACATAGGGATGACCGGTGCGCTCACAGCACTTACTGGCTGAGCGCGGTGCGGCCAGTCTCAAAAAAGGACAAGACAAAAAAAAAAAAAAAGAAGTTCTAATGCACTGACAATCCATCACAAGGGGAGGATGGCTGTTAAAAAGCAAAGACTCTGGGGATTCAGGGAGGGCTTCTCCAAAGATGCATCACCTAGACCTGTGGTTCCCAAATTTGGCTGTGCATTAGAATACCTAGGAGATTTAAAAAATCCTGATGCCCAGGTTACACCACATAATAATTAAATCAGAATCTATGGGGGCTGGGACACAGGCATCAGTAGTTTATAAAGCTCCCCAGGTGGTTTAAATGTGCAGTCAATATTGAGAACCACTCATGTGAACAAACCCCTGGAATGGTAGGGGTTGGACAGGTAAAGGAAGAGGTGAACAAAATTTCCCAGCAGTCCTTAAAGCCACACTCTCAGCCTTCTGAGGTCTGGCTGCAGGACTCCAGGACTGCTACCTTTAGGGATGTTTAAGTAGCCTCAGGCCCCACCACTGTCAGCAGAGTTACTTTTCTGCAGCCAGGAATACACGAAGAGGCTTCTCCCCATCAAGTGGAAGGCTGTGCAGGGATATCATGTCCCTGCCTATCCCAGGACTGCTCCAATTTAAAGGGTTTCTCCAACACCTTTAAATTAGTCACTCCTTTCCTTTTAACCCCATGGCTTGGCCCGTCCTGTTTCCCCATGATCACACCACCTGAAAGGTATAAAAACATACACTACATGCCTATATGATCAGTAAACATCTTGGGACAAGGGGAGGAACCTCTCAATGTCCTCCTGCCAATAAGACATGCCAACCCTGCTTGGAGGGGCAGAGGAAAGGTCCCTGCTACCACAAGCACATCACAGAGTTTACAAAAGAGTTCACGTATTTTTCAGAAAATAGATCCTGGTTGTATATTATACCACTAATTTCCATAATCTTTAATACCCGTATGCACGTTTCTTAGGCTAACAAACAGGCATCTATTTTGGTTGTTGTTGGTGCCGTGCCTGAATACATTTGTAAAGGGCAATAATATTATTTGAGTGTTACTGGAGAAGGTCTATAATTTTTTTTTTCCAGTTAGGGATGAGGCAATATAATATCTAAAACATACAAAACAGAGTGCTTCCCATAGGCCTTAAAAAAAAAGCCTAACCATAGTTTTGCATCATTAGAAAATGATTTTTTTTTTTTTTTGTCTTTTTGTCTTTTTCCGTGTCCTGGCAACGGATCGCAACCCTCAGTGTTGCCCCCGTACCGGACCGGGGACCGGCAACGGGATCGCAGCCCTCGGTGTTGCTCCCGCGCCTCGCTCAGCCAGTGAGCGGGAACCGGTCTGTATGTGGGATCTGAACCCTCGGGCGGGAGCGCCGCCGCGCTTCCCAAGCGGCGCACTTATCCAGTGCGCCACTGGGCCGGCCCTAGAAAATGATTTTACCCAGCATTATATATTGAGAAGAGGTCCTGTGGTAGGTGCTGGGAGCATTATCACTACATATGTCTTCAAACTTCTCTGGAATGGTTGCAGGTCATGTAGTTAATTCCTTGTTATTGTGTCAGGCAGTGTTCTTTCTTCTACTATCTGAATACCGTTTCTGGGATTGATAAATGCTGCCTCCTGGTTTAAAGACTGTATATGGACTGTCTCAGAAAAGGTGCCATAATAAATATGTGATCACGGAAATGTTTACAGCATTTCATGGACTTTATACACTTACGGTAACAGGCTTTTCTATGAGGAAAACTACTAAGAAATGCAAGATTTGGACCAGCATTAGCCTAGTTTCCTCATCCCCTAGGGAGGAAAGTGTTCTTTACTTCTTTACAGAGAGGTAGTTGGAGCTAAGCCCAGCTAGAAACTCACATCCTGAAGTTTCCCCATGCTGAGAACAATCTGGTGGCACTGGGGCTGTGGAAAGATGCCAGCGTCCCTGCCTTCTGGGTATGGCAGAGGTGATCAGGAACCGGGTCACATAAGAGCTGCTGCCGCTTTGTAGCACCCACCATGTGGTTGCTCATGTGTTGGAAACGCACCAGCGTGGAATGGCTTAAGGCCAATTTAAGTCTTTCAAGGTAAAGTCCTCCTGGGCTAGAAGTGTTGACGTGATTTAGGTGCAGGTGTAAGAAATTCTAACACACCAATAATCTATCACAAGGGGAGGATGGCTGTTAAGAAACATGGCATTTGGTAAGAAAGAATTTTGGCTGCTCCTTTCCATTTATATAGCTAACTCCAGCAAAGGTTAATTGAATTTTTCATTGAAGTAAAGGAAAAAGTTCTGTAGAGCTAGTTTCTTAAATTTCAGACACCCCTGGGCTTCTTTTCCTCTTTAAAAAGCATGCAGCCACACTGACCTGGTCAAGTCTTCGATGTCCACCAGCATGGCATCCTGCTCTGTGTGAAGCTCATCTCGGATGAGGAGCAGCTGGACCAGCTCTTCATTCAAGCCTGGGGCGAAGAAAAAGCATTTAAAAATAGAGAAAACTGATCCATGTTAGAACGTGTAACTATTTACAGACCACAAAATGAAGGTACTTCAAAAAGTTCATGGAAAGATTTGTATTATCTTTTAATTCTATTTTTCCACAAACTTTTTGAAGTACCCTCATCTGTGTACGTATCATAGATACAAAATTACATATAAACTGGTAAACATAATAGAAAATCATATTTTTGTATAAATTTAGATTTCTTATATTAGCTTCTCGTAAGTCCAGGAGAAGTCATCAATTGGAGAAACGCTATGTGTTTACATCATTATAGAGGTGTAGGAAGAAAAGGAGTAAAGTAAGAAGTATTTCCAATTACATTCACTTGAAAGTAGGAAAAGAAATTGTTAGCTGTTGGGATACTGGCTTGTTAGAAAAAGTAAGATTTTGTTTCGAAGAAATGTGAACGATGAAGTCTGCAGTGTATTAAGTTTTCCACCTTTCATCTTCAGGATGCTCCCAGCACACTGAGAGGCAGACGGGCACTGACAGCACCATGTCAGACGCCCAGCTGGAGAGGAAGGTATGTCAGAGATGCTCAAAGGCTTCATGGGGCCCTAGGAAAGAGGGTCCTTATGTGCAGATTGTTCTAGGAAAAAGTATTATCCAAGGATATTGTGAAGTCAGATTTGTCAAGTAGTCAGATATGTAAGTCCTGGTGAAATTACCCCTTAAATCTCTGGACAACAGGATGCCAAAGAAAATATTCCTTAAGATTTATACCAGGAATAAGACATATATTAGATGGAAACATTTCTAATCCTCCTGAAATCAGTGGATTGAGTGAATTTGGCTCCTGCCTCTGAAAAATATAAACAGGCAAAGGCTTCTCTCTTATTTTTTGCCCTGAGAGAAGCTAAAAATTAGAACTGCTAGGTCTAGACACATAGGGGAGAGCACCCGTCTAGCCAGAGCTCCAAGCAGGGAAACAAAAGACAGTAAGGGGTGTTCACGGGTCCCCCTCAGAAATGCTTTTAGAGATCCTCACTTCAAACGATGCATTTATCTGCCTTTAGTTCAGAATCGTTTCCAGTTTTAGAAAGAGAAAAAAATCATACAAAGAGGTCTAAAATTTCATCTACTCCTGAAAAGGGCTAGATGGCAATTTTAGTATTTAAAAGTCTAAGGAAGATGTCTCAGTGGTAAAAAGCCTTTTCAGTCCTTGAAAGAGTACCAATCCTAGTAATTAATTCTCAACTAAAATTAAAATGTAATTGTAGAATTAAAAAAAAAATTCCTGTGAATCTATGGTTTCTTAATTAAAATGTTAAACCCTTTCCCTTGATTTTAAAACAATACTGAATGTATTAACTTGGCACTGAACACATCGAATTTTTCAGCTGGACCTAGCAGAAAAATTTTGTTTTCCAGTGTGCTCTTGGGGTAGTCTTTTTTATATTACCACTCAGTGGAGGGCCCGCAGATCCGAACCCTTAATGCACAGTAATTATTTTTTCAATATTAAGTTTCAAACTTTTTATTACAGAAATTTTTAACTGATAAAAAAGCAGACAGAGAGAACAGTTTCATGAGTCCCATGTATCTAACTAGCTTCAACAATTATCAAATCGTGGCCAATCTTGAATCATCTCTCTCTCCTTCTCCTACTGCATTATTTTAAAATAAGTTCCAGACATCACATTATTTCATCTGTAAATGCTTCAGTATGTATCTCTAACAGACAGGAGCTTTTTCTTTTTAATTCATATAACCACAATATCTTTATCATACCTAAAATAATACATAAATAAATCTTAAATAAATCATCCAGTGAATGTTCAAATATCCCCAGTTGGCTCATAAATACTTTTTATACTTGGTTTGTTTGAATGTTTATAGTTGGCATGTCTTGTGGATTCCTTTTAATCTGTAAGGTCATAGGATTATATGGAACTGTACATTCCAGAGGCTGGAGGGATTGACTGTGAATTCACCTGGCCTAATCACACTGCCTAAGTGAGAATGTTCTTTCTTTCACTGGGCTGAGCAACTGCCTGTTCTCTGCATGACCAATCACCTCGAGTGAGAACCACTCATTCCCACCCCTCCAGATGCTTCTGTTCGAGGTCCCTGTTTATTCTGGGGCGAAAAGCCCATGCTCTGCTACCCTGTAATTTTCACATACTGGTCACATATACTTCTACCACCTAGAGTACCACAAAAGAAGTCCAATTTGATTTGATTGATGATGATACTTAAATATATATACAAGTAAAGTAAAAGGTATAATTGTATAATAAATGACTTGTAACTACCAAATTATATTCTAGAAACAGATGTTGCAAGTCAAACACATGCACTATTTTTGGAGTTTGGGATTTAAGAGAAATAAAAAGGACCTTACAGCATTGTGAGCCTTGAAAAATTCTCAAAGCTTCTGAACATTTTACAGTTAAAACAAACACACAAAAAACCAAAACAGAGCCTTGTGATTCTCCTTTCCTTGCAAGCACACAGGAAGAACCAATGAAATGCTGTACCAAAAAATTAAATCCAGAAAGTGGCACTACCCCATTATAGTTAACATGAAATATCCCATTTTCAAGCATATCTTACACTTACTTTCTATCTGGGAATGGAGATCATTGACTATCACTTGTAGCTGCCCAATAGTCATGTCTCTCAGGTCAGTGGGTTTTAAACTTCTTTTCATCAAGCATTCACTTATATGAGGCATGTGTGGCAGCTGCAGATACAAAGGGAAAGAAACGTAGATGTGAACAGAGCTGCAAGTACACTGAATGTAAGACCCAGTTTTCTCTTAAAAGATCCCCCTCATTCATCCACTTCAGTTCAGGTTCTGTGCTTACCACCATTCCCAGTCTGTGACTTTCCCAGAGTGGGGCCCTACACACATGTCACATTACCTAATATGCTATCAGCATCAAAATGCTACACTGCCAGCATCAAAAGCTTTCTCAGTGGTTTTTAATACAGGCTGTGATATCCATGAGTCAATTATTACAGCCATAAATTAATTACCAGGAATTGCCAGGGATCATAGTAGTATCGATGACATGGGTAAAATTAATAATATTACCTACTATTTAATAATTTATACCATACTACAAGCACTGTGTTATGTGCTTTGAATGCTTTATCTCACTAAATCCTCACAATCACACTCTGACACAGGTGTTATTATCCCCATTTTATGGATGAGAAAACTGAGACTGAGTACCTTGCCCAGAACCCCGTAGCAGGTCAATACTCAAACTCCAGGGCTCTTATTTACTATGCTATTTTGTTTTCATTAAAAGGTGAGAATGAGAATGATAGCAATAGTGAGTGTGCCACAGTCAATATGTTCTAAAACCGAGATTGCTTTAAAGCAATTTGAATATTCCCAGGACAGTTAATACTGCCCCTAAGAAACAAAGTAGATATGTGTCAAGAGCAAAGTGCACTTTTGTGAAATTTGTTGCTTAGGTATCTTTCAGTGCTACAGTAGAAAGGACAAACAAACAAAATTGTTTCTCAATGACAGTGCTTTTTACAAACTGCCTTGGAGAAACCCAAGTTTGCATAATTCTGGGAAAGGACGAGGACGAGGACGGTGTCAACCATTTACCATCCCCAAGCACTCGCTTGTGGTTCAGCCTTCACTGCTTACAAGATCAGCGACGGGAGACTTTTTCCTGTTCTGTTTTTCCACTTCTACTTGCATTTTAGCCATTGGTTTGGCCATAGCAAGGGCCATTTTGGCTTCAGCCTGCAATTTCTTTTGCCTTGTGAGGAAGTCCATGTCATCCAAGGACTCGGATTCCTCTTCAGTAGTGTCTCTATCGGAGTAGGAAGAACTCTGTTTGCTCTGCAAAGGGAAAAAGAGCAGCCTGAGCTTTTCTGCACATGTCACCCTCTGTTTAGAGATGGGCTACAGCGTCCCCTGAGCCCTCTCAGAGCAGCTCAGACCTCCCTCCATCACCCTGACTTGCTGCTTGATGTAGCCTACACAAATCTCAGCATACAAAAAGGTCTATTTTTATAACAGACTCAGATTTTAGCATAAATAGAAAGAGGAGTATCATTAATAATAGGGGAAATATATTTTTAACAAATGTGAAACATTTCTTTGATACTTGGTCTCAAAACTTTTTTGAAGTGACCACATAAAACAAAATAGTTAATGCAGAGCTAAGGCACTGTGCTGGCCTTCAGAGTAGATAGGGTCTCAGGTCTCCAGTGATGTTTTGAAGTTGCACTGCACCACATGGTTTCCTGTTTGCTGATCTTTGGTTAAAAAAAAAAAAAAAAGGTGATAGCCCTGACAGAGAGGAAAGAATTCCAGCAGTGAGCACCCCTGATTATCCAGCCAACCTTTGTAATAGGTAGGAAAGGAACGAGCTCATAAAGCTTGCATTTCTAAGCCCAATGGGGAAGGACTGGTATATAGCACATTTTCCCTTTATAATTTTTAAGAGCATATCTGATTTCTCTTACGGTTTAATATGAAAGTACCTGCTAACTTTACCATAGCTTATGTATCCTTATTGTATCACAACTTTGATTTTCCAATCATTGTCACATTTGAGGAGCATGCAGTGCCACGATTTTCTTTTTTAAAATCTCTGCAATGTTCGTTCCTAATTCACAATAGAAAAGAAGCTAAACGACCAGGTAAGCACAACACCAAGCTTCAGCTGATACCTGTTTGGACTCACCATGGGAGACAAGGGGGTGTCCAAGCTGGTTTCAGTCTTGCTGTCATCAGCATCACTGTCCTTATCACTGCCACTGTCGTTGACAAAGCATATCTGCAGGTTCATCCCACTCTGTAGTCTGAGCAGAAACAAACAGGACAGAAATTCTACTTAGCTATTTGTTATCTGGCTGCAGCCAATAGAACTGTCTGATTTAGCTAATAGAAGTAGTTTTGCACATTCTTCACATGGAGAAGTGAGTTACCAATATCACTCTCCACTTATAAATGATAATTTTACTAGACGATTTTCCAATAGTCTATTTAGTTTTTTTCATACCAATTTCATGTTAATTGAAAAATAATTTAAGACTGCATATTATAGCACCCAGCACAATACCAGACACATAGCTGGCACACAATAAAAGTGTGTTGAGTCATTGAGTTTTTAGTCCTGTCTATCAAGATGAAGGGGGTTCTTGGCCAAATAAGGCTGCCTGGTGTCATTCAGGGTCCTGTCCCAGGGGGACAATCCAAAGAAGCTCACTAAAGCCAGGCCAGCATCCCAAGGCTACCGCTCTTTAAAGACTCCTTTTTTCCCAAGTAGACAGAATAGGATCATCTGAAGGAAACCTTTATTTGAGGCAGTTGCCAAAAGCCAACCAAGGGAGCCCATTTATGTCATTAAGAAAGAAAAACACTACAGGTTCCCCCTAGAGAAACATAAGGAAACCCAAAACCCAGTGACAAAGGCACAGCCCCAGCACAGCAAGGGACTACAGACTGCCTCCCGCACACACAGCCTCAGAGATGGAGACCTCTTGGGAGCTCATTATGTTTGGGTGAATCCTGAAGCTCCAGGAATGATGTTGTTGGAAATGTAGTCAGAAAGGGTCACTAGGCCATGCAGCTGCTATATACTCGAGCAGACTGCAGATCCAACTCTTTGTCCTAACCTTCTTTTGAAGTTGAACAGATTTCAATACTGTTCTGTGATAAAGTTTTTAAAGAAGTAATTTTCTTAGCATCTCTAGTTGCTTAGAGAGAGGAAAGGCAAAAGGAGGCTCCTAAGCAAGGGGAGATCATAAGGGGGCTTATCTAAGCTGGGCTAGGGCAGAGGGCACAGAATTTGCTCTATCATTATTACTGCCAGAGGGAGAAATGCAAAGAGCAACTTGGATATTTGACATTTATATTTGATTTTTTTTAGTCCAATGTCAGGGATGCTTTGCAGATATTGCTCAGATGACTCATTTAAAATGCTTCTTTGGAAGAAAATAACACATAATACAGAAAAATAAAATCTACTGATTTAACAACATAGGCACATAATTGTTATGGGTATGCACTGCCACCTATTGTTAAATTCTATAATTACTGGAAGTCCCAGCTTAATGGCCCTTGTAAGGAAATGCAGCCTTTCCCTCAGTAAGCCCAATTCTGTTTCTTTGCCCTCATGGCACAGGCAAGTTTCCAGGACCAGGGCTTGGCGAAGGGTGAGGAGGTCGGGTGGGGTTTAGAAGGCAACATGTTCTACTGTGATCAGCTCAAGGTGCTTAGAGTCAGTTGGAGTTAGGTTCTGAATCCTCACTTCTTTTCCCAAGCATATTTCTTTCTTTCTTTTTTTTTTTTTTTTCCCCCCTTTTTGTCTTTTTTCGTGTCTGGCAACGGATTGCAACCCTCAGTGTCACGCCCTTACTGGACCGGGACCGGCAACGGGATCGCAACCCTCGGTGCTGCGCCCACACATCGCTCAGCCAGTGAGCGGCCGGTCTGTATGTGGGATCCGAACCCTTGGCGGGAGCGCCACCGTGCTCCCAAGCAGCGCACTGTAGCAGTGCGCCACCAGGCCGGCCCTTCCCAAGCATATTTCATAAGCTCTATGATCCTGTTTCCTCCTTGGTAAAATGGGGTGAATAATACCCAACCCAACATTTTGCAGGAAGGATTAAAAGAGTTAGTTCAGAGCCCGGCACAGGGTAGGTGCTCTATACATGTCAATTGTCCTCTTTCTTTACCTACTGAAAGCCTAAACGAAGGAAAACAGTTTTAGAGGTAATGTGACTTTGTAAAGGGACCTCTAAAGCCACTAACTCTAATGCTTCTTGCTAGTCACAGCAATCCCTGATGCACAATCAACTAACAGAGTGTACCTGAGCTGTCTTTAACTTGTCCTTTTATTGAGCTGGGATTTGCCTTCTTTTAACTTTCTTCCATTGGATTATTTTTCTTCCTGGAGAAATCTAATATGTTCAGGTTACACTTTGATACCATGTAAATTTAAAATTTTTAATGTCTGTACTTGGTCTAAAAAGATAAAAACTCGTTTTTAATAATAAAACTCAAGATCTATGAATTAGAAGATGATGAACAAGAAAACTGCGAATTAAATCAGAAGCATTTTAAAGGCTAACCCTAATTCAAATCTAGGATTACATAGCATTTTCTATTTATTGAATAAAGTCTTGAGAAGAAGTTTCTGGCTACTGGATACGCTAATTACAGAAACATAAAATAACCCACAATACCATTACAAAATAAAACTTCAAATGCCCAAAAATATATATTTTCATTCAGAAGAAAGCCTGATCATAAATTTTGTTGTTCTGCCCCAATACTGACCTTTCTTTGAAGGATCAACTCAGACCTAAATCACCATCCTATACAGCATTTCTAAGTCAGGAAAGGCAAAGGAAAAAAAAAAAAAAAAAAAAAAGGGAAGCGTTTAGTAGTCGGGTTGAAATGAAAAACTGCCTCAGGTAGAAATTCAGAAAATCGCCTTAGTACCACATTATCGCCACAGGAAACTGAACAGAGCTTCTTACAGGGTGAGACTTATAATTCCTTGTACTGGTAATCACCAAGAATGTTACTCTCAGGAAAAGGAAATTATATGACATAACAGCTAATGGTTCAGAGGGGATTTTAGTAAAGACATCTTAAAACGGGCTCAGATTTCAAGAAGGATTTGTTTGCCTTCAGCCTTTAAGAGGGTTTTAAGATGAAGACGGCTTTGGGAAACTCAACCACAGTAGCCAAGCAGCGACTGCCTGTGGGGTGAGTGGGGCCACCTGCGCTGTGCAGGCCTCTGTGCCACAGGGTCAAAGAACAGATAACCCCTGCTCCGGGTCCCTTTCCGCCCTGGGGATGCATGGCTGTTCTTGAGGCTCACTTCTGAAAGGTGGAGTTCCCTGAGCCTCTGTCCCTCACACTGCAGTGTAGCTGGCCTTACTTTTAACCAGTCTTGCAAAATTCAGACTGCAGGGGGTCTAATTTTCCTGGATCTCTCAAGCACAGTCTGAGATGGAAACAAAAACATGATCCTCACCTTGTTAATTACAGATATAATTTCAAGGTATCTAATTGAAGGTTACTTGACGTTTCAAGTGGCATTTAGCAGAATGTTGTGTGCGAAAGGCTGCTGGAAGTCTGCCTTGCCTGTCGATTTTATTTCTGCCTATCCCAGAAATCTCTTCCCCCTCATGTGCCACATGCCTGGAGCTACTGACAGGGAGCACACCGAGGGTCTGGGAAGAGGCTGTTCTTGATGGAGAATGCTCAGAAACATGAAGAGATAAAGACTAAGTATGTCTTCTGGACATCTCAGTGAGTGGAAGTGGCTTCCCGTGTGACAGTGCCCATTGGCCAGGAGCGGGAGGGCATTTAGTCAAGCGGCTGTTCAGCGATGATGTCTGCTTGGCATTTACAGTGAGAATGATTTTTACTTAGAAAATGCTTGCACTGACTTCCAACTACTGTTACCAGGATATTATGAACATATGCATGGAATCGGGAGGATTGTGGAGATGAAAAGTTCCTTACTACTAAGAGGATATCTCAAAAACCCAGCCAAGTGCTAATATGATTTGGTACAAAGATAACACTTCTTTCAAAAGTCCAAGACCAGACCAGTTTATTGCCTGAGAGAAACAATGCCACGGTCCTAAAGTTTGCTGGTAACTTCTAGAGGGGCAGTAGCCATTGTCAATCAGGCCTTTGTCCTTAACCTTGGGTAGTGGTGACTGGCACTGGTCTGAGGCTACTTCTGAATCCCATAACTATTTGCAGTTTTCTGGTCTTAGAAGTGGGACTCTCCCAGCACCAGCTTAGAACACCAGCAATTATGTATAAATGTTTAAGGTTCTTTGGTAAGATTTTATCACCCTGCCCACTGCCCCTGAGTTCGCTTCACTTGAAGTGCTGCACTGAATTTTAGTTTGAAAGATGTTCTCGGGCCGGCCCGGTGGCGCACTGGATGGGTGCGCCGCTTGGGAAGTGCGGCGGCGCTCCCGCCCGAGGGTTCGGATCCCACATACAGACCGGTTCCCGCTCACTGGCTGAGCGAGGCGCTGGAGCAACGCCGAGGGTTGCAATCCCGTTGCCGGTCCCCGGTCCGGTACGGGGGCAACACTGAGGGTTGCGATCCGTTGCCAGACACGGAAAAAGACAAAAGACAAAAAACAAAAAAAAGAAAGATGTTCTCATACATTCTCTTCTTGGACTGTTTAATCACCTGTGGATTACAGGCATGAGAATGTTTACTCAGAAAAGTCATATGACTTGACCCAGACCTGTGACAGCCTGATTGTAAAATGGTCCTAATTCTTTCCACCCCATCCTTTGTATCTGCCCCCTCTGCAAAGTGACTGCAGCTTCTACCATCCAGAGACAGAGTATATTCCCTGCTCCCAGGCTGGCCTTGTGACTTGAAAGTGATGGTGTTCCAGCTCTGAGTGTCCTCCTCAGGGAACCCAGCCACCGCCTTCAGAACAAGTCCAGGCTAGCCTGCTGGCAGATGAGTGACTTTGCAGCCCAGAGCTCAATCAGCAGTTGTCCCAACTGAAGCTCCAGACATGTGAGAGCCCAGCCAAGGGCAGTAAAGGCATCTCGGTGACCTGTAGCTGGCCGCAGACACATGAGCAAGCCCGTCTGAGAGCTGCTAAGCTCAGCATAACTGCCCAGCTGACCTAGAGGATCCTAAGCAGAAATAAAGGCTTATCGTTGTATGCTACTGATGTGAATGGCTTTTTATTACACACATCACCATTGTAGCAACAGGTAACTGGTACAAGATCACAAAGCAAGAGACTACAGGCTGGCCTTCTGATATTTGAATCCAATGGGCTTTCGCCCATGCTACATCTAACCTCAGGTTTGGATTTATTAGATCCTGTCTGTGTCTGGAAACTTAATTTTAAACGGCGTATACCTCCTGTACTTGCTTATAATTTCAAAGCAACTGTATGGCTTTCATTAGCAAAAGCAAGAAGACTGTCCCATGTGCCTATGGGTTTCAAACATGCATTGCTCATATCTGTCTATGACCAGGGTGGCTCAAGAGCCACTGGCCCTGCAGTGCCATTTGTTACTCAATATTCCCAACTAGTTTGTGACTGAGCCATTAAAATATATTCTTTCCATTTATTTTAATGGATCTTTGATGTACTAGTCAAAGGTTTTATACAGAATGAATAATCGCCCATATTTTTATAGCATATTTTTTTTCTATTTCATGTGAATTTCAAAGGGGATGAAGCATAAAATATGGATTGTAACTACCTAAGGGCAGCTATAAACACATTTTATTTTCTGAGAATTTGTCATGAAGAAAGACTGTGGGAACAACTGAGGTTTGGGTAAGCTTTAGAAGTACTGCATGTATGATGGTATCTCTATGGGATGTGTTGAGGTACGTAGGTTAAAATGAGGTACTGCTACCCTTTGATAAATTGTAAAATACTTTTCCCATTCTGCAAACCCTGCCTTTCCTCTTCTTTTCTCTACTGACTTCCATATTGACGTTTACCAAGAGAGTTACAGAAATGCCTATTACCATTAAAAAAAAAAAAAAGAAAGAAAGGCAAAATTTCTGTTTCCCAATGTTTATTATGAAAATACGAAGATTTATTTTATTTTAATGGAATTCTGTTAACTTTCTTTTGCATAGGATGATTATTGGACTTTAAAAACATGTTATTTATATAACAGCTGCAAATATTGCTGGTCCAACATGTATCATCACACATGCAAAAGTACTATAAATGATTTTTATAACTATGTAACGTAGAGAAAGGGTTATTTAACTGCTCATTCATTCGCTCATTCATTCATTTGATAATCAGGCAATAATAGCTCTGTAAACTCCATGGCACCAATAGGCTGGTGATGAGTAGCTGCTGTCCCCTTTGGCCAGGGCATACACTGTGTAGTTTGCTACAATCTCCACTACTCCCTATTGCTTTTTATCTGGGCTACTTCACTCATTTATGTCTCTTGTTGGTCCCTGAAGACATCTTATGGTTCATGACTTCTGTATTAACTGAATATGTAGCAGTTGAACCAGGAATAAAAACCAGGTCTTCCAACAGGTACCAAATGCTTAGATCATTAAATTGTAATATATGAATAGACATGTGGAAGGAAACTTAAAAAACAGTTAGTAGATACTCCCTATCTTATATACAAGGGATCTTCAAAAAGTTCATGGAAAGATTCATATCATATTTTAATTCTATTTTTCCACAAACTTTTTGAACTATACTTGTATGAGAAAATGAACACTTTTGCTACCTGGACATTGATAAAGTGTTAATCAAGAAGACTGAAAGATCAGGGAACTGTAGAAGAAAGGCGGTCTTAGTGAATTGGGGTTTGGGGGGAACAAACACAGGAGAGAGATAGGAAAGCTGACTCTCTAGCAGTTATGTGCCCAGAGAAGTTAAGGGTAGTTTCTAACTATGTGCCAAAGGCAGGATGGGGGGAGGGAGGGGGAGAGAGACATCGTATCTCGTTATGTCCAATCCTGATCTCTCATCTTACAAGACCCAGGTGTTTGGCTTTTCCAAAGGCGAAGCAGGATGGGGGGAGGGAGGGGGAGAGAGACATCGTATCTCTTTATGTCCAATCCTGATCTCTCATCTTACAAGACCCAGGTGTTTGGCTTTTCCAAAGGCGAAGGCAGCTCCAAAGGGAGCCAAAGTGTGAGTGGCCCTGGTTTTCATCTTCTAATCCTACAACACTCTCTTTTTCTGCTTCCTCTTCTAAGGTTAGTTCTGAACACTTCCATCTGCACATGTTCACATGGTGACTGGTAGGCACCCAATACCACATGGCCACAGAATCTTCTCACTGGCTTAAACAACTAATAGAAAAGGGAACAACCAGTTGCCAGCTTTTCATTGGAAAAGCATCAGCCCCTGCATCCCAACCCAAATCTCTAGAGAGCTATAAATACTTGCATTCCTCAGACAGCTGTTGGTTGTAATTCCACATCAGCATCCATTTCCTTCACTAATGACCACTTTTATGTAATTAAATTTGGAATTACAGGATCTTAATGTTGGGAGACTGCATTTTCAATAGAAATATTCTCTAGCATGAATAGAAGATTAGAACAAGGCTTCTTCTGATATGAGGAATAAAGCAGCCATCTCTCCTAGCTGCCAAATGTGGCTTTCATCTTAACCAATGACAAATGATTTCCAAGCAACCTATATTCTGAAATAAAAAGAGTTACCATTTTTGAGCATCTACTACGTGCCTGGCACTTTACATATCTTACCTCTAACCCTCAGATACACATAACATAAATATTGTGAGCCCTGTTTTACATATGAGAAAACAAAGCCTTAGGTTTTGAGGTTTACTTACACAAGGTCACAAGTTGGCACTTTACTTGAGGAGAATCTGTCTTGAGAGGCCAGGGCACTTTAAGAAGGATGGAATAAATTCATGAATGGAGAGGGAAAAAGAGAAGATGAAAAAAACAAAAACAAAAAACAAAAAACAAAAAACCCCAAAAAACCCAAGAAGCTGAAAACAACTCAAATGTCTAACAATAAGATACTGATTTAGTACATTATGGTGAAATATATGATGGGCTCGTGTGCAGCCAATAAAAATGCACACAATAGAACAATTAGTAATATGGACAAATGTTCCTGACGTATTAAGTGAAAAAAAAGGCTATAAAACAGTAGCTACAGTGTGACTACAACTTTATACAAAAAATGGGGAGATGTATGTACAGAAAAAATGGCAGGAAATACACCTAAATTTTTTTGGTGGAAGAGATTCAGTTGACTTTGGATTTTTCTCTTTTGAGCACCTCTGAGTTGCCACGTGTGGGCATTTAGCAGCAATAAAAAAGAAAAAGGAGAGAAAACAGGAGAGCTGATGACTAGTGCTTGTGTGTTGGAGAAAAGGTGAGTAGGATTCAGTATTTGACAGTTGGGAGAGGATGGCTGTGTCTGACTCAGACCATGTCTATGCAGGGAAGTGACTTGTGTATGAGTCAGGCTGGGCTTTTGTCTTTGGCAGGGTGCTGTGGGTGGTGGGAGATCTGCGGGCAGCAAGAAGCATGTGTTATAAGTGAGCAATTCTCTGGATGGACTCTGATTCAGCTAGTGACATCCCTTCCCACCCCAGTCTCAATCCCATTACCCTCCAAAGATCGAACAAAAGGGTGGTGTTAAATCTCCAGATGACACAGCTCACCTGCGGTCGGTGAGTGTTTTCCAGTAGCAGTGAATACTGCTGCGCGTTCTCAAGCTCAGTCCTCATATGCGCTGTGTATGTCCAGACACATGTGTGGGACCAATGTCCAAAGGGAGTGCAATTTATAGTAATAAAGTCATGATAACTTGTCAAAGATGATGCACCAATGAAAAATAATTCCTAGAAGCTCTTTTAATTAAACATTCAACTGTCCACCGGAGCCATTTTTAAATATAAAATGCAGCCCTGTGGCCTTTTTTCTCCCTGCCTCCCACCCTTTTACAATAGCTCAGGCAATTGAATTCTCATTGGTGATAAAAAAAAAAAAAAAATCATAAGACAGGGTACAGCTGGTTATGCCTCTAGCAAGATGTCAAATTCAGCTTGCACAAAATTAATTGCACCTAATTAAACTGAGGTCATTGGCATTATTGTAAAGTGAGGCCATTTATTAGACAAAGAAAATTCTACAAACACCAATTTGCTTTTTTTTTTTCAGGTTTGTGAAAGAGAAGAATTGCTTACATAATTAAATTTGTTTTGCCACTTTAATCTTATTACTCCTCAAAAGATCCACTTCAAATCTTCCTTCGCTTTTGAAATTGTGTAATATTTTAGAATATCAGAGGTAGTCCTTGGAGAAGGGCATTAAAAAAAATGATAGGTTTTCTATAGAATACCCAATGGCTTTTCAAATAGCATAAACAAAGAAAAAGAGTTTGTAAGTTACCATTTGCAATGCCACATACCTTGGAACTACTTATATGAAGGTTTTCTAAGCAAATAATTAGTACAAATTATTATGAATGAGATTAATGCAAAGTTTTAAAGATATGTTGCATGTTATAAATTGGTTGCTATACTATGTAACTACTATTTCAAGAAAGATGCTACAGAGAACGGATTGCATTGATCTGAAACAGGACAATCTCTTTCCTCACCCATGCCAGGCAGATATGACTACTCTGCTTACTTCTTCCAGGAAATTATACAAATATTACTACAGCTAGAGGTAAGAGGATGATTCCCTTTCCTGGCAAAATGATGCCAGTTTGACCTGTGATTCTGTGGCAGATTATATATACAGATTCTTAGTTCCTCACATTCAAAGCCCCTATGAATTCTATTTCCTTAAAGTCTTTCTAGATTCAGGGTTATTGGTTCAATTGATAACTCCATACGCTAAGGTGTCCCCCATTCCTCCTGCCCTCCAGTCCTCCAGCCCAGACACAAAAGGAGGTGGCAGGTGTCTATTATTGGTCTTGTCTCAACCATTCACCAGTAAACTCATAACGCCAAGACAGAAATGAGTTTTGATTTGCGGATACTGGGATGGTTAAGTAAACACTAATCATTATTCAAAGCAGTTGCTCAAAAGTTCTCTGGGGAATTTCTGTTTTTCATAATATTCAGCACTTGGAGCAAAGGGTATAGCCTATCCTAGGTCACACCATCCCAGTGCATACTTTATGAAAAAGAATGTATTAGATTGTGTTTACAATTATACGTAAATAAAATCTGTCTTGGGGTAAGGTAAGAAGAGAGGTGAGAATCAGATTTATTTTGTGGTTACTCTGAGAAAAGAATAATGAAGAAGGCAGAGAAAGTTTTCTCCACTATGCCAGATCAAGTTGTAATGTGTGAATAAGTAAAGATTTTCTAAAGTCTGTTACTAATGACCACTCCATTAATTTGCCAAAGATCCCACTCACCTTAGCAGGCCCTGCCTTAAAAAGTAAGCTCACCACTTCAGAATCCATTACTTGGCCAATTAATTTTAAGTCCGCGACCTCATCTAAAATTGAGTATTGAGCTCTTCAGAGTAGTAAATTCATATAAGATTTACCTGGTTCTGATTATCTAACTAATATTAACACGTGCTATCGTACATTTTGGACTATCATCTTGATGAAAAAATTCTGACATCCCTTGAGTGCTTTTGTAAAAAAGGAAAGGTATTTATAACTCAATGAAGAATTTTACTGCATTAGAAAAAAATAAATTCTCATGGGGGTAGGGAATATGGGTTGTATGATTGCAAATGAACATTCCTAAAGGCTTTTCTCCTACATTATTACTGAGGAGGGGGATAACAGTCAGTTTTTATAGACTTTAAATTTACAGGGATAAAGTGATATTTCTTAGAAACATTTAG